TTTAAAATGGTGTCACATACGTCAAGTTTCCATTTATTGAAAATCGTACGTGTTTGTAATTTAAATGTGAGTAAGGTTTTACGCTGTGGCTTTAGATTAAATGTAAATATAAAGCTGTTTATATATATATATACATACTATATGTAATCTAATATACTATACAACTTCTATCAAATTAACAAAATAATTAAAACTATAGTCAAAATCTTCAAGAAACTCTAAATTGTGTAACTTTTAGTTAATATATATATTATAGTATACGTACTTCTATTAAATTATCAAAAAATAATTAAAACTATAGTCACAATCTTTAAAAAACTCTTAATTCTGTAACTTTTAGTTAGACAGCGGGAATGTGTAAGAGAATTCCAATATAAAAAGGAATTCCTTGGACGGCGAGTGCTATATATATTTACAAGAAAAGTCTCGTAAAACAATAGTCCTACAAATTGAAAAATACAAGGTTATCGTATTTTTTTCATGAGATCTCTTTTGACAGGAGAGCCTTTATCTGACAGGTTATAGGAATGAAAGGTCGACTTCTAATGGATACTCGTTTATACAATCTTTGACGAGTGTCTCACATTCACAATAAATAAGTTACCGTGCCTTAAGGTCTGGACAGCGTATTTGAATTAAAATTACTATACTTTTATCAATGATAATCGTATGTACTCATCTAAATTTGCATCCACACCAGAGCGAACGCTTATGAACGAACGAATTTTTGCAGGTACGATGACCTGCGAATATTCGTTCGTTCACAACCGTTCGCTCTGGTGTGGATGCAGCTTTAGATGAGTACATACGATTATCATTGATAAAAGTATATTAACTTCAATTTAAATACAGTATTACTTCCATTACGTATCAAGAAAAAATATAGTTTTTGGTTTATATGAAAAAAATGCAACTTGTTACTTGCATTTCTTTCTTATCTAGATTACCATTTAGGACACGACATTTGCAAGCAAACATATCTACATACACAATACAGTGCTTTTTAACAGCTTACTCGTTACTTATTGCACGCTGTGTTCCCAACCAAACATTTTTTGATAAAAAATGACATTTAAACTCATCAACACTTGTGTTATCTTTTCATCAACAAAAGTATTGTTCTAATTTCTATAAAATAAAAATTAAGAAAATCGCAAGTGAATTGAGTCATAATATTGTTACATTAAGTTAAATGCATATATTATATTAGAAAATATTTTCAAACTCAATTATTTATGACAAACTGAAGTGTTCGTAAACACATAAACCAGCGAATACACAAAACCACTTGCCACAGAACATCTGTAAACAATATCGTTTTCAATTGCCTATAATTTGACACCTTGGAAAATTGTTTGTATACAATGAAACAAACAAAAAAGAAATGGGGAGAAAAACGTCAGGCATTAATGCAACGCCGGTGTATGTGTGCGTTTGTATGTTTACACACAGAAAATTTACTTTAATTTTTACTTTACTTGCAAAATTAATTATAATTATCTAAATATTTTAATTTAAGTATTTTTTTTTTTTAATATACATATATTGAAATTAACTAAACCGGTCTCATTTCATTATTTTCGCAAAACTAATGCACAATTACTTCGAACATATACAAACGTACAAGCAGAGTTAACATATACAGAGCATATAAAATGCGTATAATGCAATTAAAGGGTCCAAGTTTTTTCCTTCATTTGTTTTTTATTTTACTCAATTTTTTATTTTATAAATTATTTAATTTTTACTTACCAACAAACCACATTTTCAGTTAAACACTTGCACATTTTGATATATGTATTAATTCTTTTCCTTTATATATAAATACACTTCTTTATATTTGCCTTTTAAACTACGTTGAACCCGCGCCTTGCGTTCGACTGAAAAGACAAAACAACAATAATGCGAAAGTATTTAAGAGCAACTCGTTGTAGCGGAGAGTACTTGCTTTGACTTTCGAAATTATTTTAAAAGTTCGAATATTCGAATATCAATGAGTAATTTATTTTGGAACAAGTAATTCGAATATTTATATTCGCTGGTTAGTTCAAACAACAAATTATTCGAATAAAACTAACAGCACTGATACAAATATATAATTCTTAGCAGTAGTATTAATACACATTAAGTACTTACAATTTTACACACATTTTTATTAACTGCGAATTTTTAACATTAAATTTTGTAGAAATATATATTTTATAATTTTTTGTTGAAATGAAATTGGAACATACAATATAAAATATAAAAATGAAAATAAACAAATAAAATACAAAATTTCTTAGCACACATGATCGCTTTTGATTTAAATAATCATTTCTATTTGCTTTAAATTATTTGGAAGATAAGAAAACGGACAGTCATTTAAAATCTGAAACCTAACTTGTTTTTTAAAATGCCACTTGTTTTTTTATATATATATATATTAGCCATAAATTTTTCTTTCAGAGTAGCAAAGAAATACTCGCAACTTACGAAAGAAAACATGTGAAGCAACAACAAATCCAGCGTTTGGTTTTACTCGTAAATAATTTTAAGTCTTAAGTTTTAGTGCAGCCAAATCAAAAATCAGTCTCTTGTGAATGTTCACAAAATTGCAGTCATCTAATTTGAATAATTTTTATATTTCTTCTTCTACTTTTACCTTTTGCTAGCTGGAAGTTACTGCAGAGTCCCACTCTTCTTACTGGCTAATATATGACAGATCTAAGATCTGCTTACCGCCCCGTGTGGCTAGTGATTATTCTGAGATTAGATAGTGTTAAGTAGGGCCATCTCAACTTCTCAGCAAATTAAATGAACTAATTAATTTTTTTCATTATTAATGTTTTATCTTTTCATATCATATATTATAAAAACTATTGAATTTATTTAATTAAGAATTTTTAAAGTCTGAAATATATTCATTATTCAAATAATAAAAATTTTGAAATCTTAATATTACTTATAGCTATTTTTTATAAACGTAGGCGTAACACATATATGCATATATTTATTACTTCTTTTTTGCAAAAAGAATTTTGATAAATTATTATTTTAAATTTATAAAAATGTAGACATCGGTTTAGTAGCGCCCTCTGCATGTCAAAAAGTTGGAATTTGTATGACATTTATTTATCGATAACTATTAATTGTCAAAACATTAATGTAAACAAAAATACTATTTTGCTAGTTGAAAAAGTAATGCCATAGCGAAGTATTGTTTATGGTCATAAATAATTGCAAGCAATGTATGGAAATTTGTTGTTAATGTGAGATACAATGTTATTGTTTCCCATTTCTTCAAAAAAGCTACTTAAATATATTAAATGAAATGGGAAGCATATAGATAAACCGTGAAGTCGGAGGGAGTCATACATTGGATTATTAAAATTTATTTTGCTCAAAAATGTGATTGTACGGTAAATTAAATAGTTTTGTATGAAAAACCATAAATCTATTGCTTTATATCTTTATAGTATGACATGATAACTTCTTGGTATTATGACACAATAACTTCTAAGATTCTATATATGATTATCTTTACCACACAATCATATAAACTGTGCTTAACGGTAAGCAAATAATTAGATGGGTACATTATTTGTGAAAACATGACGCTGTTCTTAAATCGCTTTGGGAAAGAACCACTATTTTCCTTTATTAAATCAACCATTGTTTTAACATATAAATTACTGCAATACTTAACAAACAGAAGTTGTTGTATTTATAAAAATTTATATAAGTTTGAACATATTGATTGTGTTAATCCTTTAAAGTGGTTGTAACTGGTGTATGCTGATGCCTAGTTTTGGATTTTCAACAACAGCAGCGCTATGTTTAGCAGCTATTTGTCAGTATCAACAATTCCTTAAAAGGCCTTGTACCACCGATACAAAGGCATCCACTTAGGTCTGTAGACCAATTTTGTTACCGTATAAGGAAAAAGGTGACGTAAATAACAAATTAATTGAAAAAGTAATCAAATCATAAGTCGGACTTTAATTAAAATAATAATGATGCAACTTGGTTCATCATTGTTGGTTATTTCTATACGATACGCGCGTATTTAACAACAAACGAGAAATGAAACAACCAATAGAAATATTGTACAAGTCATCTTTCTTTTTGTTTTATTGCTAGAAGATGGACTACGCTGACTTGAAACTTTTTGTATTTTCTTCGGGAGATGAAAAAAGTGATCATTTCCTAAGGAAGTTCAAGGCTATTATATATTTCGTATTGCTTTGTACAGAAACTTATTGATGACACATAATAAATTGCTTCAACTCTGGCAAAGGTTGGCAAAGGTTATAAAGCAGTTGGTACTTCAATATCTATCATATAATAAAAAAAGAAACATATACCAATATATTTTTTAAAATTTGTTTATTTTTGCTTGATTCTTTCCAAAATATTTAAGTACAAATATTAGCTTAAAACTAATTATGCTTACAAAAATTGTCTTATGTTTAAATTATTTAAATAAAAATAACGCTAATAAATGTAAAATAATATATGTACATATTAATAATACAATTGTATGACGATTGATTTATATAAATGTATATGGTTTAATATATTTTATTTGTAAAAATTAACTTCACAAGATTATTGAACTACATTTAATATTACGTTTTCAATATGGCAGTTTAAATATGTTATTAATTTTAAATGGAATTATTTAATTTAAATGGAATTATTGCTTATTAAATGTTGGAATTATGTATGCATTTATTTGTTAACTATTACTATTTAATTTAATATAATACATATTGCTTTAAAATTAACTGAACAGTCAAGTAAGTTTGTAAAGTAAAATTAAATGGAGAAGCTTTTGGTTAATTTACGCGCATACAGTGAAAATAATAGTATAATAGTCTATAAATTAAAAATAAAAGACAATTAACGTAATTAGATAAAAAATAATAGGAATATTTAACACAATAACGTCTACTGCTTATGACTATACATATATGCATACAAATATATAATATTATATATTATAGCAACATATATGCGTAAACCACTTATGTACATTATTTATTATTTAAAAGTAGGAGTATTACATATGGTATCTTGTTCCTAATACTAAACTTGGTAGTTGTCTACACTTATGTACATACATATTTATATAAGATATTTACATGGGAAAATGTGCACTAAAACTGGTTGCAAAGTAAACTAGTAGCTATAAGATAAACAAGCATTTATCTAACTAACTAATATTTTAAAGCTATCACATGGAATTTTCTTTTTGAAAAAACTAAACACAATTTGCAATATATAAAGTTGATTTGCCTAAAGCTATGGCGCTGTCTTACGTTGTCCCAAACTGCATCGGTTATATCGGTTGTTTTATGAGTATTGTGGTGATTCACCGCCAGAGTTGATCTTCTTCACTCTACTCACATCGTCGTAAGCTATTGAGAAAACACTTTTTTTCTCCGCAATTGGATTGCGTCGCCCCATACTATTGAGCAGTGAGTTCATGGCAATACCAGAATCATGATCATCTTCAAGCGTGGAAGCATTTAGCTGTTTCTGCGTCACATGTTGGCTGCTGGCTGTTGTGGTTGACGGGTGTGTTGCATTTGGATCTTCGATATAGAGATTGATTTTTGCATTGCTGACTTTAACTTCGTTCTCCTTTATTGGCGAAGGTTTCGGTTTGAGCTTTTGACTGCTCTGCGTTGGTTTGGAATTTGCATGCGGTGGTGTTTCTGGGTACATATAGTGTGGCAGTTTTGTCGGTGGCACTGGCACTTCAGGTGCATTTTCGCGTTCGAAACGATGCTCGGAATGTTGTAGCAATGGATGATTTGTTTCAGTCTCAATTTTTGGTTTATGTTGTTTATTCATGACAATGTCTTCTTTGAGTAAGCGATTCCCTTTGGGCGGTGTTTTTCGTGGTGCAGGTTCTGGTTTGTATTTTGCGTCGTCCAATGCAATGTCGTCTGGTTTGACATTGAGACGAGTTTTCGAAATACGTTTTTCACCCACAGTAGTTTTCTTCTTACTAGACGCATGTGTTTTAGAAGAATCTGTTGATATGCGACTGCTGGCAGATGGTTTTTGGGTTTTCTTTTTCTCATAATACCATTCCATATATTTAGGTACATTTCGTGTACTACTATCAGCCACTTCTTCGGCATCTAGTAAATCATTTTCGCTTTGATAAATGCGCTCCTTAACCATGCGCTTTGAGTCTCTTATTTCAGTAGTTGTAATTTTTGTACCATTGTTACCATTGGTTTGGTATTTAGAAATTGAGACACGTCTTTGTGGTGGTTCAGAGGTTGTTTGTTTACGTTTTTGTGTGGGTGAACTATTGCTGCCTTTGCTGTCTCGTCGTGATAGTCTAATCTTAGAATCGGAACGTGGTTCATGGTCTTCAGATAATGATCTTCTATATACGCTATGTTGTGTTCTATTAACACCGCTACTACCAGCTCCACCGCCGTCACTGACATGTATCTCGAAACGGTGCTGATCTTTCGGTTTTATTCTATAGGCCGCATTATGTCGGTGGTGACTAGGTGTGTAAGCATTGCTTTTAATAACAATTTCGTCAGCATCAGAATCCATAGAGTAACCAGCCTCATCATCTTCCTCTTCTTCAGCTGATTGTTCATAGTATTCTACTTGTTCTACACGTATTTTATGTCGTCTTTCCTCTTCTGGACTACCAGCCTCTTCATAGGAGTCAGAAAGCATTTCACGATTAAGCGATTCAGTACTTTTTTTTGTTTTGACTGCTTGCATCATTGCCTCATTTTTCTTACGCCTTAAAATGCTTGTTTTAGTTTCACCGTGGTTTCGCAGTGGCTTTTTGGGTGGCGAACGTTTGCGATATTCGTAGAACTCATCGTCTTCCTCCTTAATGGGCGTGCGTATTTTACGTTTTACCTCTTCAACCATAACAATGCGTTTGCGTGGTTTTGTTCCAGTACGGTACTTTGAGCGTCTTTTCGGACGTTTACGTTTAATCCAGTAAACGCCTTCAGGACTATTTGGTGGGCTGTAGCGCACATATTCGTATTCTTCCTCCGACATTGAGTCATCATTTTCACTACGCGCTCTGCGCCTTAGCGTCACGCCTTGTGCAGTAACCGAAGTGCGTTGCAGAAAGCCATCATCAGCTTCAGTTTGTGTGCCAGCTTCACATTCGGTTTGAGTTGCTATGGCCATTGATTGACCCGGAAGACTTTGTGTTTCTAATGCTACTTCTTGTTGCGTGTAACGTGTAACTAGTTTCTCCTTTTCTAGTAAAATCTGCCGCAAAAGCGCATTTTGTTGCTTAAGTGAATTTTCTAATTCATGAGTCAGTGACTGATTTGAAGTTGCCGGCTGCATTTGACTGGGAAAACCATCCACCTGTACACCCATAGCGCCTTGTGCAGGTTGTGTGTGTATTATTTTGATTTCAGGCTCTGCTTGTGAATAAACAATGCTGTTTGGTCCCGATTTACCCAAAGGAAATGTGTCGCCTTTGAGCGTGGAATTTTGTTGTATTTCGTTTGGCATGGATTGCACGTAGGTGGCGCCTGGTATTATCTGATAATGTTCGCGTATAATCTGCTTTCCATCAGGTTGTTCTTCGATGAAACGCCGCATTAATATCTCCTTGCCGCTGTTGTCAACCATTAGCAATTGTGGATGAGATAAGTTTGTCGATTTAATTGGCACATTCACATAAATATTATCATCATCAGCAGCAGCGCCTTCGCGTGTTTTGTCTCTGGTCATGAGTTGTAATATCTCGACATTGCCATCTTTTATGAAAAATTCACGTTTATTTTTGAGGCTGCTTCTTGCGGTGTTGTAGTCAATGTCACTGCCGCGATCAATTTCGTGACGTCGCATTGAATCGTCATCAATGTGACGTGAGTCCTCATAGCGTTTGCGTTGCTGTTGTGCCATTTGTCGATTTGCTTTGCTGCGATGAAAATGTTCTCCGGAATCGTCAACCAGTTCTCGTTCATCTAACACATCTTCGATGTAAATATCACGATCGTTAATTAAATTAGTTCTAGAGTTATGAAAACTAAGATGAGTATCGTCTTTGGCTGTATGGGTATTTCTAAGGATTAAAAAAATGTATTAAAGTGATTACGAATTATGAATGAAGCGTTGAACTTACTTAATTCTAACTCGTCTATGCTGCTCTTCGGCGGATCGTACACGTCGGCTTTCTTCAACTTCTGCCATATCGCCGATCGTTGTTGGATGACCGCCTACGCTTTCGTCAGGTTGTTCGCCGCGTCCATCGCGGAACTCCCAACGGGTAGGTTTCGTTCGTGGATCTGGTGGCTTCTCCGCGGACCAGGCCTCGCGTCTTCCCATCCACTCTGCGACCTACGAAATTGAAACAATTTTAAATTATTTATTTTGTACTCGTCTAAAGAAGATATTGTATATGGTAAGAGATAGTGATATGATGAGAAAAGCTTTGCCATTACCTACTTAACTACAACAACAACAACTGAAGAGTGTGTTAAGTCTAGTTTTAAACCTCAACTGATGGATCAGTTCAGTTTTCGTTAAATTTTTAAAAGTAAATTTGATTTTTTAATTTTTAAAATTTGTTAAATAAAAAGCATAAAGTATACCAATAAGTAAACTACCCGGTAATAAACAATTTGATAAGGAAATAAAAAATGAAAAACTTAAAATTGCGGTGCAAATTCGCTACGAAATTTTTAATTAAAATTGCTTTGCCGAAAAATGGTGAAGTTTTTTAAGTTAAATTTTTGCTAATATGAAATCAAAATAAAAAAGCTATGAGAACTACTTTACAAAAAGTACGAGTATAGCAAGAATTTTTGTTACGAAAATCAAAATCTACCTGAACAGATTTTGTTTGTTTTCCATTTGCCATTTCCCTATGAACTAGATGAACATCGTCTTCAGTTCTACTGATATTAACTATTCTTTTGCTACAATAGAAAAAGAGAGTATTAGAGATGATAGAATGATCGTTTTTTTGTTTTTTTTTGTTTTATTTTGCATATATATCGCTTCATTACGCTTTTTAACAGTGGCGGATTGGAACATTTAGGAGACCTTCTAGGTATAGATACTTTTATCATAACTTGATAAATATATCCAAACCTTTTATCATATTTGAAAATGTATATTAATCTTAAAAAATCCTGAAAAAAGTAGAGTTAACATCTAAAGTCATAAGAAATCAATAGAAAATACCAATATAACTGCTTTTGGAGATGTAATGACGCATATAATATAAAGATTGTAAATATATCTTAATTTTCATCGCGATAAAAGAGAAACAAGCCTGGTTCGCTGAAAAATGTGGAACATCAATATAAGAATAACAAGACACATAATGTCTTCCAAAGAGTGGTCGACTCTACGTTTAAGAGCTAAGTGCTGTTAAATAAGATATAACACAAAGGTTATCAAAAGGGTTATGAAATATATAATTTTTCTGTTAGAGATATAAATACTATAGTCAAGTCATATTTCCCTTCAATATTTGGAGATTATTTGTATTCACTTATTTGATGAATAATTGAAATATGATATAATATATATTTTCTTTAAAGTATGTATTAATAAATAAAATTATTCACCAAACATTAAAAAGAAAGAGGACAAAGGGAAACTGTACCGATTAACTATACGAGTACATAAAAAATGTCATAATGTGAACCAAACGTAATATCACTTCAGTGATCTTATTATCATTTATAATATTTCGATAGCAAAAAAAAACAACAGAGACCAGATATTTCTAATAATTTCTATATAGAAAAATTTTAAAAAATTTTAATGGATGTATATGCATAATATCCGAGTATCAGGTTGGTACAGATATTACTATAAGTTATAGCTGTCAACAATCAACTACGTGAAATTGGAATTATTACTGGATTGTAATGTAGAATCAATTTAGTGAAAAGTATAAAGATAAGTGAGAAAATGGAATTACTAAAACATAATAAATTCAACAGAACAAAAGCACTGTGAAAGGGAGTATAGATTTCCTCTTATAATTTTTATAATTTTTATAATTTTTATAATGATAGGTTATAAGGAATGAAATACATGTTTGACTTTAACTTAAGTGACATGTCTTCTCTAAAGAAAGATATTACACGTATAAGTACAACCACTCATGCTAAGTATTGTTAAGTGAACGACCCAAAAGTATTCTATATCCAAAGAGTGTGTTTGAAAAGTATTATTCCGTAGAGTTATGATTGGTTGGTTGCAGTGGCAGGTCAGCAAATATTCTTCTGCTACCCATAATTAATAGTTTTTTTAAGGACAACAGCCCTCGCTAGACATCTTGAGACACCTATAAGAAGAAAAAACTAAATCCATCTTTTTGAATTTAAGTAGTTTTAATGATCTTTCGTCCTTGTCGATATTAAATTGATATATATCGACGATAGAGAGTATAAAACTGAGAAGTTTCGGGATGTACTATTAGAACTCATAAATACGAACAAGTCAAGTTATTTGAGCCTAGCATACTTATCTATTTAACATTTTATCAGAAAAGTGACAAGCTGTAACGATGATAAGGTTTTAATAGCCTACATTTTAAAGAAATTTTAAAATACAAAATAAAATGAAAGAAGTATTGAATTCAGTAATTATTTATTATCTCTGATATTTGCGGGACTTATGTTAGGTTGTTAAAAAACACTAATTCGAATTCTCAGCTTCACATAAAGTGACTTAATGATATCAATACAGAACTATTATGCATTATGTCTATAATCAAAAAAGACAAAATATAGACTAACAGTGAGAAAAAAATATTAAATCGAATAGACCTTTTCATGTTTCCTTTTTAATTCGAATTTCTTTAACTAACATTTTGATTCAAAGTTAAATATTATCCGAAAACTTCTATTAGACCCATTCAACAATACAAAACTTTACATTTAAATTTTTTGGTGGGTGGTCAGGTCTACACAATGTCTTTTATTATATATAGGAACATATATGAAGATTTTCGTAGACAGCAATCAACTCATTTTCATAATCATTTCAAGGGCCCTAAAATCTTAGTAAACCTAATGTAAAAGTCCGCCACTGTATAATTTGTATTGAAATGTAGTAGTTTAGTTTTCTACAGGCACAATACTGAAGCAAATTTCTACATTATTTTAAATAATATAAAAATGCAAATTTTTTAATGGAATATTTAACTAAATAGTAAAAATTTTTTTACCGTCAAATTTTCATGCCAATAATTCTTTTAGGACTATTTTATTTAGTGGACTCACCTTGTGGCACCGTAGAGTGGGCACCAGGAACAAATGCAGCAAAGCAACAAAATAAGAATTGTTAACGCGACTAGTGTTGCCAACAAAATTAACAGCCAAAAGAGCAATTTATTTTCGGCCTTGTAGAGCGTCTGTAATTGTGTTAAATTCTATTAAAATTAAAATGAGTGCAACTCTGGGCATGACAATGCAACCAGCCACTTACCTCTGTGTCCGTTGAGTCACGCGTCATTATGGCAAAGGAACTATTGTGTTGTGAGAGGCGTTGTTGTATCTGTGATATATCCACCACAGATGCGCTGTCATAGAGCACTGTTGCGGTCACCACACTGCGATCTTTCATATCGGCATTACCAACAGCTAAATTCTTCGCACCGGGTTCATCAGGCCGCAGAGGCCTTATTTCATGTATTATAACTTTACCGCCTGTAATAGCAGATAGAGTTTCTTCGGTTTTAGTCTTATCGGGATTACTACCGGGCACCACAAATGTTACGGTGCGTGTACGACTTTCTGGTGGATAGATACGTATGGTTGTTGTGCTGAAACGTACTGGTACACCCAAATCATAAGCGCGTGCAGTCAAGACGAACATGTCGCTTTCTGGTGGTGGCATTGTATTTGCTGTGCCATAAGCTTGTCTGCGGTTTCGTGCATGAATTTGTTTTTTCGAACGTAAATGTATCTTCTCGCGTACTGTCAGCTCACCTGTAATCTTATCCAAGGCGAATTTGTTTTCATAATTGCCATTGATTATCTCGTACCGTACTTCATTATTTGGCGCTGTTGCATCCTTGTCAACTGCATGTATGAAGGCCTTCGTTGTAAAACTTTGCAAGTCTGTGCCCAAAATAAACTCATAGAGATCCTTTTCGAATGTGGGCGTCTCATCGTTGACATCAATCAGTTTAATTACTAGCAGCACTTGCGCACGATTTCCTGTGCCATCGTTGTCACGCGCCTCGACGTACAAATGGTATTCGGGCATAACCTCACGATCGAAGCCGTGATTGTTTGTTGAAACTGTTATTAAGCCAGTCTCTGCATCTAAATTCAACGAAGTATTCAAATAGCCCAGTATGGCGGTGTAGCGTACACGACCACCCAAATCGGCTGTATCCGCATCATCAGCGTGTACTTGTATGACCTTTGTGCCTACGGTCATATTCTCGGGCAACTCAACCGTGTACACTGGCTGGTCAAATACGGGTGGATTGTCATTGACATCGTTAATGAACACAGTCACATTGACAATGGCAGAAAGATTTGTTGCCGGACCAAGTTCTTGTGCTAATATTTGGAATTGCACTGATTGTCGTTCCTCATAGTCAAGCAATACGTTGTCACGCACGCGTATTAGAAACGATGCACTACGCTCAGCGACATTTGGCGATATCTCGAATGTACCGTTATTGTTAAGTAACGTTAACGAGAATACGCCGTTCTTGCCAGTGTCGTCGTCATAAACACGCGGCACATAAGGCTCCACAAATGTCAGTGCTGTACCTTGCGGGGCATTTTCATCAACTCGCGAGAAATAACTAAGCAGCATAAAAGGTGGGGGAAGCACCAATGGAAAAACAAAAATAAAAGAAAAGAGAAGAGAAGAAAAGAAAAGGAATAAATTTTAGTTGTTAAATGTAAATGTGAGTGAGTGGGCATAAATTGATGTTGTTGACGTTGTCAGTTGTGCAGCGTTCAACTAATGTGTGCCCCATCCATACTTGGAGCAATGGAAGGAGACATAACTGAATTCTAGTTTTGGTTTTGCATACTTACTGATCGTTCTCGAAGTAAGGCGGTGAGTTAGTGCGCTCTGGTAGGAAAAATGCCAATTGGACTGTGGAAGCCATTGCTGGCGGTTCGTCACGACCAACCTTAACCTCTTCCGCAATTACTGTGAGTAAGACGGGATCGCCCACATGCGTGATTGCTGCGATATCCTCAAGAGGTCGCATTAAAAAGATTTCGCCTAAAAAACAAAAAAACAGAAAAAAAAATTAAATTAAAATAAGGAAACATGTTTGATTGAAATTGACAAGAATTTTCTTAATGTTTTTCTCATACTCCTCTCTTAGTAGATGGCTTGGTATTAAGGCTTAAAATTACGACTAAGATAGGCAAGCGAACTTGTTAATTGTGTAAAATATGAAAAAGAATGTAATATTTTAATTAGCGCATAAAAAAGCAATATAAAAATAAATTTCCTTAGTAAATTTCATTTAAAGTGAAATGTACGTTTCAAATTCTCTGGTGTAAGAATAATTAGTGAGACAAAATTGAGATAAAGTCATCTTCATCTGATACCGATCGATATGAGATACCGATATTGAGAAATTTGTAAAAAAGATTTTTTAAATTAATATTATAATTAATGTTGTAGGATATGAAAGATAAATGAGATGATAGGTCATAATTTGAAAGATATCGCCTTATAGTAAACCCGGAACTCGAAAAGAAGGCTAGATATGGTTCAGCTAAGAGCGCTATTGAAACTTCTATTAAGAAAAAACTTAATTGTGATTGTTCTGATGCACCCAAATAAAGCGTTGCACTGAGCCAAGTCCTCTTGAGAGATAAGCTGCCACTAGTATCTACAGTCAGCCAGAGAATAGCGACTAGTTCAACAGTAAAAAAAAACCAAAACTACATTGTAAAATCATAGAATGATATTTATAGTGGTGTACCTCTAAGTGGCTCAAAACTATGTTTCGCTAGAACTGTTTTATAAAGTTTTACAGGGAACATAAATTATTTAGTGGGTAATAAGAAGATACACAGAAACCATTTATTAAGGCTGTAATCTTTTTTAGGAATAGTAAGTCCACAGAAACTAAGCGCATAAACTCTTTTATAATCTCGTTCATTTTAAGAAACACCGCTTCACTGTGAGTATTTGTAGAAACATAGGTTTGAGTTGAATGTGGCTTTTTTAGAAATGAAAGAATTTATTATTTATAGTATAAACGTTAATAATATTATATTATTTTCCACTAAGTATTATCTAATAGTTAGTATTATCTTCTTCTATGTAGTTTTTTCTACTAAGTGAAATCTTCTGGTTAGTAGTATCTGCTGTTTTGTAGTATCTTCTGCTTAGCAGTAGATTCTGCTGAGCAGTAGTTTCTGCTTAGTAGTATCTTTTGCTTAGCAATATCTTAAACTTAGCAATATTTTTAGCTTAGCAATATATTCTGCATAGCAGTATCTTCTGCTTAGAAATATCTTATTTCTTTATTATATTATTTATTATATCTTTGCTTAGCAGTATTTTCTGTTTAGCAATATCTTCAGCTTAGCAATATCTTCTACATAGCCGTATCTCAGTGGTATATTCGGCAAAGTAATATCTTGTTTTAAGTAGTATCTACTGCTTAGAAGTATTTTTCACTTAGCAGTATTTTCTACATAGTAGTATATTCTGTTTTGTAGTATTTGTTGGTAAGGAATATTTTTTCCTAAGCAGTATCATCTGCTTCATAGTGTCTTCTGTTTTATGGCATTTGACTGCCAAGAAGTATCGTTTACTTAGTAGTATCTTTCGCTTAGTAGTATCTTCTGCTTTGTAGTATTTTCAATTTAGTAGTATTTTCTACTAAGTGATATCTTCTACTTAGTAATTTTTTTGGTAAGTAGTACTTCGGCTTAGTAGTAACTTCTACAAAATAGTATCTTCTGCTTTCATATCCCCCGCTGGGTATCTTCTACTTTACAGTATCTTTTGCTTAGCAGTAATTTTTACTTAGCAGTAATTTTTACTTAGCAGTAATTTTTACTTAGCAGTATCTTTTGCTTAGCAGTATCTCAGTAGTATATCCTGCAAATTAATATCTTGTGTTAAGAAGTATATTCTGCTTAGCAGTATCTTTTGTTTAGCAGTACCTTCTGCATAGTAGTATCTTCTGCTTTGTAGTATTTGCAGTATCATCTACTTCATAGTATCTTCTGTTTTATAATATTTGACTGTCACGTAGTATCGTTCACTTAGTAGTATTTTTTTACTTTGTAGTATCTTCTGCTTTGTAGCATTCTTGGTTTAGTGTTACTTTCTGCTAAGTAGTATCTTCTACTTTCTCGTATCTCTCGCTAATTATTGTAGTTTGCTTAGTAGTATCTTCTACTAATTAGTATTCTGCTAAGTATTATCTACTATTGTATTTTTTGCAGTGTAACATTCACTATCATATCATATCTTCACATAACACGCGTAGAAATGAGTTGAAGAGAGATTGACGCTCTATGTAATTTATAAGTTAGGTTTCTTCAAGAACTTTTAAATCACATTTATTATTTATTAGATTCGTACTGCTTTACAATAGTGACTTTCACACAGAATAATTTATAGATTTAAGTCACTGTGAAAGCTTGAAAGAGCCTCTATTTCTGCCATAATTTTAACTGCGTTAAAATAACTGCCAACAGGCAGGCCTGCTGTGAATACAAAAGATAAGTAGTGCAACACATGCCAGACATTAAAATAAATAAAACTCTTTTACGTTTCTTCTAGGAAAACACTTGAGATACTTTTGAACGTGTCGAACTGAAATTAACACTTTTGTTTGCATTATCAGTAGAAAAAAAAGTGGAGAAGAGCAGACTACGATTTGCATTAAAAACTGCAAAATAAATAATGCAAAAGAAATGCAAATACTTCTGATCTTATTTTGAATGGGAAACTGAAGTCTGGTAAAGATTTAAACGTGGGAAAGTGTAAAACCCAACCTATCGAAAAGAAAAACAAAAGAGTTAAAAGGCAATCATATCCACTTCCAATAGGAGCTGCGACAGGAATATTTGTTAGGGTTAAGTTTATGACAGCCATAAAGACAAAGCCTTTACCAAACTAACGAGTTGAATACTTAAAGAGCAAGGCGTGCATATGTAACGACTTTTGAACAAATAGTCAGAAATGTGTCTGCAATCGCAATGGAGTGTGCAGTAGGTAAGCGCAGTTCTCAGAGGATACAGAGAAGACAATAGCAATGGTCTTAGAAAACTTTAAATATATATACCAAGTATAATAACATACACGTACTAAGGTCAAGTGAACTTGTTAACGCAAAGATGCTACGTCTGTATGTGTATGTATAAGAGTATGGCTTTTAGTTGGTAACTAGTTTGGGTTCCTTGAATAATGCTGAGATGTTTAAAGTGGCAAAAAACCAAGTCTCCGTGAAATCTGCTTAAGCGCAGAAGCCACAAGTCGCTGAAAAATATTTTCGTTGACGATTTAAACTTGCAAATTCTTTGTGCGATTATATTGAATGCAGAAAGTAACAAATCGTCTTAGTTTAATATCAAGAATTTTATGCAACCTGAGGCCTGCCTAAGCCTGCATAAATGCACAGAGTCGTACCTATACGAAGTCCTACATACTAAGTACAAATATTGTTTGGCATTCATTGTTAAAGAATATTTTATTTGTTTAGTATAGTATTTCTCTTTGTTATTGTGATATTTGTTATTGTTGTATTTGTTGTTGTTATTGTTGTATTTGTTGTTGTTGTTGTTTTCTTAGTGAATTTTGTTATTTGTAAAATTACAGAAAAGTCACGATTGGGTGCTGTGATATTTCTTTTAGCCTTAATCAGTCGTGTTGCATTGGTAGCCACAAACGACGTATGGCAGGATCGACAACGGACAGCCTAGCAAACAATTTGTATACATGCACATTTTAGCATATTTTTGATGCATCGCATTGTTGCATGCAATTCCAATTGGTTAGATAGTGGCCTGGCACTGCCGAGCAGTTGAGGCTGCATCTAATTAAGGTTCTGCATGTACTGTGTGCAGCAAGCAGCTCAATTGCAGTGGCTCAGCTGATTTCAGCACAAATTCCTAAATTATTGTTGTTTTTATAGTATATATAGAAACCTTTTTTTCAGTGGTATCAATGGTAGCAGTGGTTAGTTGAGGCAGAAGAGACAAATTTGTGCAACTTGTGGCTATGCTAACAATTTATAAAGAAAGATAATAACAAAAAAAAAAAACTTTAAAAATAGAAGAAAAAAAATGAGATTTTAGCCAATTGTGAGTTGCAAATGATTCTTATTTTGTTATTATTATTTTAATTTTTTCTCTTTTTTCTTTAATTTTTATTTTTTTTTTGGTATTAACTTTCATAGTACTTTCAACTTTCATGATACTCGCAAAGGATAAATTGAATGCAGACATAAGTCAACTAAAGAGTCAAGCAAAATCCTCGACCAAATCAAATTGAAGACAACTCAAGCAAATCTAATCTGAAATACAGCGTCTTTGCAGTAAGAACATAACAAGGAAATGTATGCACTCAGAATATCAGCCCAACCAAGCCAATCCAAGCCAAGTTAAGCCAAAGCAAGGCCAGGCCAGGCCAGGCAAGGCAAGGCAAGACAAGGCAAGCCAAGTCGAATCAAAACAATCAGCTGCAGCAGCTTTATGAGGAATTTAACAACTTTGGCGTATGACTGCAAGAATGAGTCCCTTGTTAACTGCTGCAATCACGGCTCTAGCATTGCAATCGAAATTTTTTATACACTTTGCAGCACGTATTCCATTAAATGGAATTGGTCTTTGTCTTGGTCTGTTTGCAGTTTAGCTGAAGCTGCAGTTTAACTATTGCAGTCTTCCTTCTTCTCAACAGCATTTCCACTTATTTTCATTGTTTTATTTGTTATTTTTTCTTATTGTAAACCTTTTCAAATTTTAACGCTTATAGTTTTATTGTTGCGAAAATTGCGCGTTGTCTTTCTTCACTCCCTCAACAAATGGTCGAACTTATAGTCCAAATGAAATCGACCGCATCCAATTGCATCGCCTGCACCAAAACCCAACTAAATAAGTTACCAATATTTTAGCAGCTTGTTGGCATCACTCATCATAACCAAGTCTCAAAGAGCCATCTGGTGTGGATCATTATCGTAATAACTTTTACATTAAAGAGGGAACCAACCATAAACATAGAATCAACACAAAAAAAAAACGAACTGCTTGATTTGATTTTTTTACAGAAATTGTAAAATTAAAGAAAATTATGCTTCATACACATTTTTTACAATAATTTTCTTTTTTTGTTTTTTTTTCTTCTTATTTTTCCATAATTTCATTTTAAGTGTAATTTGTGTGGAACTTTTGATCTGCGGTGGAATTCGAATGCTTCTAGCACAGATACTCGTATATGAGAGCGCGAGATCATATATCAAACCTTACATTCAAACATATGTATTTTCTCGGATGTTCAAACACTTAAGTGCATAGATGTTGTTTGAAGGTGTAGAACTAGTAATTTAGTCGATGCGATTTAAGAAAAAATAAAAAAAATCGTGCATTTTCCATGCCATTGCATTTCCATTGCAATAAAACAATTTTTAAGGGCAGTTCAGTAATTTATTTTGTAATTTTTTTTTCAATCTTTAGTACTACGAATATAATTTTTATTACTCGAATTTAATATGAGTTTAATAGGCTTCGTGTACGAGTTAAGGTAATTCTAGTTACTTTAATATTAACACATCCACATTCCCATCCACATTCACATCCACATTCACATCCACATCCACGCTCACTTAGTAAACAAACTGAAAGTGAAGAATTTTATTTAGCAAAATATCTTTTCGTGTTCGTAGTTACTCATATATACGGTACTAGAAGATACTATTTTGAGGTGGAATGTATACATGATTTACTCTATCACACCCGCAACATATCGTTAACGAACTTGTATCGCAGTTTAATGAGAAAAATATAGCCACGATTAGAAGATTTTCTGCAAATTACAAGAAAGATGTAAAAATTATTAACTAATAAATTAGAAAATTCTTCCGGAACACGAAAATAAGGTATTACATTTTATATTGGATTTTCATTTGAACATCTTTAATTTAAATCATAAGAAGAAAAAAAAATAGACTGCTTTATTGGGAGTCATCATCCTTATTTATCATTCTCAATGATAAGAGTCTTGTTTAGTTAGTTTTTAATTGAATTGAATAGTTTGATAGTGAAACGCTTTCCTGATCTTTGCCCATATAGTGTCTTAATGGGAAAACCTGAGTGATAAAATTTCATATGCAGTATATAGAGGTAAAAATTTATAATGATATTATGATATTGATCATAGGATCAATTAGGAATACTGCTTTGAAATCGATTTACAGCGAACCTACTGTAATATCTATGAAGTATTAGTTTTAAATTAAAGTAACGTCAGAGCAAGAAAATTACAGTCATCTTACTGCGATCTATTAGAAATATTACTTTGAAATTCTTTTAAATCGATTTAGAGTGAGCCTACTGTAATCTATATGAAGTATTAGTTTTAAATTATTGTATCGTCAGTGGAAGAAAAGTGATCTATTTGGAATATTACTTTGAAATTCTTATATCATTGAAAGAAAATTGAAGAAGAAGAAAGAAAGAAAGAAGAAAATTGCGTGGTTACTGTAATTTATCAGAAGTATCAATTTGAATTCGATATGTAACCAGAGAAAAAAAATTGCAGTGAGATGACTATGTATGTAGAAGTATTATGTCGAAATTGATGTATCATCACAGGAAGAAAATTACAGTCGTGTTATTGTTATTTATTACGAGTAGAACTTCGAAATTCATGTATTATTAGAGGAAAAAATTGCTTTGAGGTAACTGTGATATATTGCTTTAAAAGTGATGTGTCACCAGAGATAGAAAATTGTAGTGAGGTTGAATCAATAAATCAGTCATTAATGAGCTATATAGACTATATAGGAGTGCGTTATTTGAACCCTTCAAAAGTAGAAATAAAAGTTGGGTTAAGCCCAACTTCTTCTATAAACGAAGAGTATATGTACACATCACAGCATTTTTTTTATGTTGCTTATTTATTCTTTAAGCACTAACAAAAGTTTTTGAGAAATATAGTTAAGATAACATAATTGGTAATAACCAATTTTTCGATTACAGTCAAAGATATTGGATGGTTGGTAGTAGTGGTAACTTGATCAGATAAATTTCCAAGTACCTTATTAGCGATTTTTCGTCGTTTTGCCAAAACATTTCTCGCAAGAACCCCTAAGACTTAATTTTTCCCTGATTGATTTTTTCCCTGATTTTCCCTGATCTTTGACAAGCCTGATCAGCTGTCAAAGAAATACCTTCCTGGAAACATATTTCTTCTAGACGCCTAAGTCGGGCATTCTCAGATATTGAGAAGATATATTTTTTTTTTATATAATCAACATATTAGGGTTATAGCGGAATTTAGGGACGTGTCATATTGGTCCGTTGTTTATTTTGGTAGTTTTCTTGTTCTGTTGAATAAGTAACATTTTTATCTATGATATCACAACGGATCATTATTTGTACGCCTGTGGGTTTTGGTATGCAAGTTTATTTTTTTAAGATAACGTAATCTAGATACATTTTTTTTATCTCGGTGCTTTCTTCATGCGGTATGCCCCTAAAAAAACTCAAATTAATGTCAAAAAAACCAAAATTATAATCAACAGATGTGGCAGTGAAGTTGATCCCGGGCTCTGTATCTATAAAGAATCGGACTCTTGAAAGGTTTAAGGTGCTATTTTACTGTTTAAGATGATAAATGTGTGTTCGTTATGCTGCGTACAAGTTGTAGATTAAATGAAATATGAACACAAATTTCTAGATATATATAGATATATATATATATATATAATACATATATCTATGGACCTAAAAGTTTAAAGTACTTTTTGTACTACATTTTAGTTGGTATTGAAGTTTTTATTAATAAATGTATGTGGTGAAAACTTCAAAATTGCTGTCAATACGATAGCTTAGGAACTGATATGAAAATTTAAAAGTATTGGCGGTTTGGCTGTGTATTACTAAAAAAAATGTTAAATACCAAAACAGGCGTTATGCTGAAGTCCAAGACAAATTCGACTCTATAATTCGAGAAGTACACGTTTAACTCTACCAAGAGTAATGTAAGTAATGTAATCTTATTAAAAATTTCAATTATTTTTAGGGGTTATTGATCTGTATTGATATAACGGAGTTGCTTTAGTAGTAATACTCAATCGATCTATACTGTCTCTGCATATAAATCAGTTCCCCGTCATTAAAATTCTGCTTCATTTATAGTCAAGGTTGTTTGGAATTTTTACTTTTTTATAAACTTTTTTATTTCAGAACTAATTTAGTGTATGAAACTAAAACACTTGATAAAATCAGGGGAAGAACAACAACAACAGCTGCTGAATGTGAACGTGAGAAACATATTTTCGAGGTAAATTATGTGGTATGAAATTTCAAACCATTTCCTCTTCAGACTTTTTTCATACAATATCTCAGCTTTTTTTTCTTCTCAACTTGGCATGAATCGTAAATGTTGTTGAATAATTGCCTCAATTTTAATGCCAATCAAATCGCTTGCAAATGAGCTCTCGAGGAATGCGAAGAAGCTCCAGTTTTTTGTCTTATCACGACAGTGGCAGGCACTTTGTTGACAAGTAAAAATTAATGGAGCGTACAGAATCAGAATTTGAGATGTGTCTCAAAAAAACAAAAAAAAAAAAAAGAAATCCTATTGAATAAAAAATAATTAAAAACTGAAAAAAGCATTAAAAACAAATATTTACGAAAATTAAAAAAAAATTCTTTAAAGATAATTTCCTTTTCCTTCACTTACCGCTCGTATCGTTGATGTCAAAAAATGATGTGAACGGATTCCCTTCGGAAACAAGTCCGTATCTGACTTCACGAGGACTGCCTTTATCGCCATCTTCAGCGTGTACTTGAAGGATCTGTAAAATCATAAAATTAAATTTTATTAATAAAAAAAAAAAAATAAAAATAAATATTTAAAAAATATAAACGTATACATTTTATATATATTTTAAGTAGAATTTTTAGAATTTTATTAGAAAATTTTTATTTACAATAAAAAAACCGTTGAGCATAAAACCCGGAAGCAGAAATTTACACGTTCATTGAACTTTGGCAACAAATCACGATTTTCGACGTTGCTGTTGCAAGAAAATCTGTTGCTGGCAACAGTCTGTAATCTGCAATTGCTGGTTTGTTGCTGCTGTCGTTGCTCGCGAAACCGCAATTGTAGCTGCTGCGGAGAATTGATAGCCTTTAGTCGCCTTCAGTTGCCGTTAATGCCGCTAATAGATTCTCTAAGCTGATTTTGTCGTCAGATTTAAAATTTCTTGTTGGCTTAGGACTTTGGTTCGCATTAATTAAGTTTTAATTTAATTATAGAAAATCTGATAGCAGAAAAGGAAATAGTGGAGGTGCTCATTAAGCTAATAATGCGGGGATTATGCTATATCTATATTGAGAAATTTTAAACATATGTTTTACATGTAACATAAGCTTTAAATCTATGGTCTATGGATTGTCAATATGTTTAGTTTAATTGATTAGATATTTTTCTTTTATGTCATAACATATTGGATGTTTAGTGACAATTTGTATTCTAAAGTCGGTTTTTTTTTGGGAATATTAACTCTTGTTTCGAGCGTTAATTTTTAGTATATTTTGCTTTTGCCTTTTGTCTTCATCAGGAGAATACCTAATATTATATATAAAAGCATTTCTTCTTTTTCTTTGTTCCGTTAACTCCCAGTGGAGCATAGGACCTCAATATAATAGCATAATACATATATATATGTATATATACAAAATAGCAATTTATGTGTTTTAAATTGCTATTAGAGCTGTGGATTTTGATTATTCATATTTATAACGTAGTCAGGATTATGCCAAGGTAGGTGTTTAATAGAAAATGTTTTATTTTATTATGACTATCATTCATGATGTTATTTTTTAGCATTGCTTTTGCAGTATATAATCTGTAAATTCAATTGTCAAGGGACAGATCAATCCCCTAACTCTCCACTCCTATGTAATACGCTACTGATTCATATCAAAGTATTAAAAATAAAAAGAAAATCTTTAGTCTTTATTTCTTTAAAGTAATTTCAAGACGATACCTGAGAATGGCAATGATACTGAACAGAATCGATTGAATTTTTTATTATAAACCATAAAAATAACGATGAAAGTATTTTGACTATATCAATCACTCTTTCAATTACAATAAAAGTGAATGAACATTTTAACCCTAAAAAAATTACTAAATTATAAAATTTTTTATAAAAACCGGTTTTAGTCTGCGGAATTATTCTAGTGTGTCCAAGCACATTCGGTACACTTTTCTCATTTATATACGTTACGTTCATTTTGGGACAGTTTCTCACTATTCAAATATACTTCCTATTATTTATTTCCTTACCTATGTAAGTACTTACTAAGAGAGCATTAATTAATATGTTATGATTTGACTGTAAATGTTAACTATTTAAGGAGGTATAAAAATACTTCTTATATAGTTTTTTTATAAGATTTATGTTGCTGACGTTTGGAAGGACGGGGTTTTTAATCACTTGAACTAGTGCCTGTGTAATCATTTGCTTCATTACTAACTATATAAGCATATTCGGGTCCTCAGCAAAGCATTAATCAATTTTGGTTGACTAATTTGTAGCATCCCACTAATCTATGAACTGGGTAAAACTCACTTAGCTCTTAATAGTATGAATGTCTTTTTCAAAGCCACGGCCAGTTATTTATCTGGAGATATGAATATTATATTTGTTTTTATAAAGGCAATATCAACCGAGCTTATTTTTTTCTATACAGTTTTAAATTTATTACAGATTTCCTTTATCGGTAATACTAACGTTATCAGCTTTGTTTTAGTACTATTCTATAGTTTCTATATGGACGTGATATTGCTTATACTAAGTTTAAATAATTAAATAAGTCTCTAAAAGCGATCTGGAATGTGGTTAAACTGATAGCTATTCCCAGTACAATTTTATTCGTTCATATTTTTCTCTCAGCAGATGAAGGGGGTCTGTGTTTACAAGTAAAGATGGTTTTTATTTGCTTTTAAGCGTAACATGTCACGGAACTCATTGAAGTCATACTTGATATTTTTTGCCGTTTTTACGTTTTTTAGAGCTTAATTATAACATAATTAGGTTAAATGATATTATTACGGTAACCGCATGTATACTCCTAGGTCTATTAATTCATTTTAAAGCTCATATAAATCTGGAAGTATTTTAAACTACTTCGAAATTTTAATGAAGCACTAAATGCTCTTCAAGGTAAGAACTTGCAACTGAGATATTTACTAAGAAGTAAGTATCTCAAACGTGTAACAATCTCTTCAATTAAATTTTTCTGAATGCTGTTGAAGTTGTTTGTATCTTTTTCTCTGCAGGGTATTTAACTTTTTTAAAAGTGTCGTAAAATAATTTAGTAAAATGATAATAAAATGTTTTATATATTATAGCTCTCATGAGTTATTTCGTAATACATATCATATGTTTCGAATATTCTATACATGTTTACTAGATTCTATGCTGTCATAAATTCATTGGAACTAAAAGTATTTACTGTTTATTGTTATGATTTTGCATAAGAGAACAGGCTTTAACTAATAAAAGACCGCACAGTAGCTGAAACACATAACGATGCTCTGTATTATTTGTGATTGTAAAAAGTATCTGAAGTTGTTAGGAGAAGGTTTGCACAACATGTTAACTTACCTTATCACCCGGAAGTATGCCAGGTGGCAATTTAGTGACAGGTGGAGCTAATGTGAACACTGGTGGTTGGTCTTGGACATCTTGCACAATAACCACAATCTCCATACCGGCTATATTGCGACTATCTTGACCAGGTTCTGCATAAGCATCCTAAAAATAATAAACAAAACAATAAAATTTAATAGACTGGCAATAAACTACAAACACACACACACACATACATACATACAGACAACGATTCTATTTAGAATAACAAAAAAGTGAAGAGTGAAGGTTCCTCTACTACTCGTAGCACTGGTACGAGTAAATATGCAAAGAGTCTGTTTACCATTCAATAAGAAGGAATTATCAATTATTTTGATTCGTTCAAGACTTAGATTACATTCGATGCACTTAAATGGTTTTTTATTATTATTATTTTATTCTTAACTGATGACGTTGTTGCTTGCATTGCTAAAGTTAACTGTTAACTAGAAAATGTTAATGACCAGTGCAAATCTTAATTAACGTGATCAGGCAGCAGGAACATGGAACCACCGTTAAGTAATTAGGAAGCTGTGGCCTGTATCTTAATGGTTCTTATGTTTATATTATTATTATTTTAATATTGTTGCCATCACTTGAACTTATTAATGATATGTATTTGAGATAGAAATCATTTCAATTTAGTTTCATGCATAAATATCGTTTTAATTTTAATTGAAAAGTTACTTGATATGTGAGTATGTGAGCTCACTTTGGTACATAAAAGCATCTTGCCTAGCAGTAGATTTATTTGCGATGCAAGAGTATCTCGAGTATGTGTAACTTAAGCACAAGTTCGAAGATATAAGAAAACTGAATTGCTTCTTGAAAATTACCATAAAAATGAAATTACAAAAGCAAATAAATAAATAAATAAATTAAATTAGAAAACAATAAACAAAAACAAAGAAATGCGATTGTTTTATTTAAGCAGTAAAAGTAATTGTGTAGAAGACTGCCTTTGAACTTTCTCTTGTCAATACTTACATTCTGGCACAATTCACGTATGCATTTTTTTCTTTAACATTTTTTTATCTTTATTTTTATTTTTATTTTTATTTTTGTTTAAATTTAAATATATTTTATTGCATTAAATATACGCTACTTGCACTGCAATTGAACTGCGCTGAATTCATAAAAATAAACCTGAGTGTGCCCCAACAAGCATTGAGGAATACTTAATTCGAGCAGCGGCGTATATGAGATACTTGCTTACTCACATGCATTCAGAAGCGGTTCGACATGTACGCTCCGGTCGCAGCAAAGCAATGACTGCCTGCATTCTCGTATGTTTGTATTTCATACGAAGAAAGCTTATCGCTGCTAAGAGATTTTCCATTCGAGGCAGTTGTGAACGCATTACGTTGCACTCGTTACAAGCTGCCGCTTTTCCGAGTATCTGCGCGCCTGGTAGCATCGTTGGACCAGTTGTAACTCGTTTCTTTATTCTTTTCAACAAGTAAATGCGGATTTTTTTCGCTGATCATATCGATTTGATCGTATTTATGGAGATCAACAATCTTAACTGTGGGAGTGTGTGTTAATTTTTCAATTAAATATGAGTTTAATTACAACGAAGCCAAAGCGGATAGCAGTGAGTCGGACTACAGACTCATGATGTCCATGATCAGCGAGCTATTTTATGGTCAGTGGAAATGCTTGATTACGATATCATTAAATTGCATAAGTGAAAAATATCTTGTAAGAAGATATATTGTGCTGTAATAAGCAAATAATTTATTTATAATTTTATTTATGCTTTAATCAATTTGAGCAAGGCTCATAATTAACATTAGTCATTGATTTCTCATACCAATATTAAATTTCAGATTGATTAGTTAAACCATTTCTTATGGAAGTCATTTGATTTTGCTAATACTGATGCATGGCTAAATCATAAGCAAATTAATGATTAATTCATTATCTTTAAAAATTACTTAAGTTGTTGATGGATCCTATTTAATACAAAAGATGTTTGCAGTTGTTTATAATATCCTAACTGTATCAATTAATATTGTATTTGATAGTTACTATAAAAATAATCTATGAATGAAATCAGTTAAATGGTTAAATTTCATTGAAAACTATAGTTATTTGTTAAAACTTGTAAACATATTCTTTCAATAGAAATATAGTACATGTTGAAAATTATATATAAATCTACTAAAAGTATATAAGAATTTCGAAAAAAACTATTAACTATTTTTAACACTATTGAAACGTTAAAAATAGTTAGTTACTTATCTACCAATTTCTTTGATATCGACAATAAATAAACTTTGTATGTATATATGTATATCAAACATATTTTAAATGATCTATAAATATATATAAATTTCTTGCTCTTCTTTTTTATTTATTGACACATATCAATTAATAATTAATTATAGACTATCACTATATATATATTGTGATAAAGAATTACTTACATTAGCTAATATAGTTAAATGATACATGGCTTGTTTTTCGAAGTCTAGTTGTCCCAGTAGAAAAACAGTTCCTTCCGTTGTTTCCGGAGAGACGATTTTTTGTCGTATGGCAAAGAGGGGAGAACCCTATGTAGAATAATATTTTAATTAATTTCTCTAAATAAATTTCATATTAAAAATTTAATTACTATTTTTAGTAATTTAATGAAATCATTAATTAAAAATTATAAAAATAATTAATCAAGTACTTCACATTTTAATTGACTTACCCATAGTTCGAGGTAGACTGGTTTTTGGAAAAGTGGATTTTTGCGTGCAATTACGTAGTCAAGTTCTGTACCACGTTTGGCATCCTAAAAAATTGCAATAAAAATATATATTTAATAAAGTTATAATACATATATATATATATAATTTATATATGTTGATGAGTATAATAAATAAACATGACTGTTATAGAAGTATAAAGCTTAGAAAATTCTTTTTATGGAATAAGACTTATCGTACAATTATTATTATATATTATATATATATAAGTCTCATAAAAGTTGTTTTATAAAATAGCAAATCGAGAGTTAATAGTGTTTGTATATATCTACATATATTATTATAATATAGTAGGGTACATGTTTATAGACTTATTGTGGTTTAAAATTTCATTGTATTAAGCACTGAAATGTTGGATTAAGTAATAGTTATGGTATATATATATAAATCCAGGACTAACAAACAAGGTAACGAGTGAAAAGAAGAGAAGGTTTACAAAAAGGTTACTTTTATTGATTGTAGTTACTCTTAAGACAAAATATATAAAATTGTTATATGTATTATGAGACAAATCACAAGAGTAGTTAGTAAAAGTCTTTTTAAGCATACAGTATATCAATGGGTTCAGTAATTTTCTTCGGTTAAAAAAAGGTTTCGTTAAAAAGTATTTTCTTAGTATAAACAATGAGAAATGGGGACTATTACATAGTAAAGATAGATGTCCATTTATGATAGTGATCGTTTAATAGAACTATTAATGTAGTTTATATTGTTTTAAAAATACACTTGTTTTCGAAGTATTTTTAAAATTGAATATACTTATGCATTGGTTGCTTATTTTTATTTTGTGTTTTTGGTCCAGCTAGCTGGAATATTTTTGTACTTCCATTTTCTTTATTTTATTTTTTCACTATTCTGGTGCTGTTAGCTGGGCGTTGGAACTTTGATGTTGAGTATTTTTTATTTTAATGATTTGTAAATAATGGTAAATTGTGGTGTCTTAACTATATAATAGTCTTAACTTGATTTTGAATAGTTTTAACACTTTTGCTAAATTTAGGTATCCAGTATTAGTCATAAAAATATCAATTTTTAATAAATTCCATAAAAAATGTGTTGAACAAATTCTTTTGTTTATTTGTTTTTATAATCAAAATATTTTTTTTAAATTTAATTTAAATAATTAAATCATTAATCAATTATTAATTGTGTTTGATTTTGATTTGATGCCGTCACACTTGTTAATTTTGTTAATTGATTTTGATTGATATTGATTTTTTTCGTATTTATAAGAAAACAAATTGATACATTATAAAAAGAAAATTAGCATTTTTTTTTAAATTTTTAATTGTTCACTCAAAAAATGCAAAAGATAGAGTATTAGAGTTTCATAGAAAAGGTTTATGTCATTACTTTTGAAAAGATGTTGTGTTTCATACAAACTTTAACTCATAAAAAAGCGATTTATTTCAGTTAATGTGTGTTTTAAATTAGCATTAAAAATTATTAATAAACGAGCAAAAAAATGTTTGTAACTCCTTAATTATTTCAAATTTATGCCTCATTTATAAGCTGCTACCGTCATCGAACCTACTATTATCTCGTCTGAGGAGTAATTAATCAACGGCAGCAGAATAACCCAAAGAAATGGTTAAATTGTTGGATATATGATATGTCAAAATAGCAGATTTTTTCCATCAAAATCAGCTTTTTTCATTAACTGAAACATGATATTAATTTATGAAAAATTGTTGCCTCAAAATGTATTTTCAGAATTATTTAATGTATTTTTAATTAAAAGGTTGAGTTTAACAGATTTTGCTGGGAGCGTTGCACTCATGTAATTGTGGGGATCGTTTGACGGATTATGGATTGTGTTTTAAGAAGTTTAAGTAATTACCGAAATCAGTTTCTTTTTAAAATATATTTGTTTATTTACTATATATAATAAAATATTCTCTTACACGACATTTTGTTAAAATTTTTGTTCGATATAAAAATAAATAATAGACTTTCTCCGCATCTTCAGTGAAAGGATCAGATCAGACTTACGACATGAAAGCACTCGGTGTTATCAACTTGCGACAGCAATCCATTGATTGGACTGGCTGGTAGAGGCTACTTGATGCCACTAAGAACGATTCAGGTTCATAATGTGTAATCATGTAAGTATGTATAATTTTTAATAGGGTTTTATAAGACAATTTTTGAACTCATATGCGCAAGTGCTAAGAAATGAGTAACATTTGTGGAAAAAAAGAAACCATGTTTAGTTCTCATAGTAATAAAAAAACAAATAAATAGATGGCTTTCACTAGAACAGTAACTAAAAGATGCTAAAAAACTATCCGTGCAAAATATCAATAAGTATTGTTGAGCTAAGAACTTTCAATAAAAAGTTGAAAAAGCTGTAGTACGGTATATTATCTACTTATGTATAGTATTTGCTGAATGCATTCTCTACATAGTAGTAAAAATATGTGAGCCTAAAGTATTTTAACTTTCTGTTTACTGGAACTGTAAGGTATACTAGAGAAAACTAGGGAATACTATTTTGTTAAGCAAATTTTAGGTACTAAATAAAATTCTGAGAAGTTTATTAGTAGGTAAATTAACGCTGAATCTGGTCATTTATTCCCTTAAACTGTATGGCTTATGATCTGTCAAGAAATTATCTTTCAAATTGAATGTGAAATCTTCAGCTTAAGTTCAAATAGCTATTTAAACCGAATTCTTGAAAATATCTAGCCAAAGGTGTCACGAGCGCACATATCTTTCCCACTTTTCGTTTCACTTCATAATACAGTTGCACAAGGCTAGGTATAGTGACGGAAGCAAACCTTAGATTCTGTGAAGGGAATGAGGAGTCGACTACACATGTGCTTTTAGAATGCCCTACGCTAATGCACATACGGAATAGACTCCTGGGACTGTCATCACCGACGGTCGCAGTGTCATATCCCCTAACAATAATAATAATAATATAATTGCGGTATTGAGAGGATACTATCTAATGGGTAAGTATGTCAATCGGTTGTAGCTCTTTTCTACGATTATTGCAACGGTTGTTGACTAGAGTATAGTAGTAGTACCTTTTTCAAATGTATTTTTCGGATTTTAATTGCCCGTTTGGAATGCTTAAAGGTATAGCCCAATAAAACGACAGTAATTTCTCTATTATAAAACAGAATTTTCCTTAATACTTAACGCCCATAAATAAAGGTCTCAGTTATTTAAACGATATTGTATTTCCGCTGTTCATAAATTAGAGTTATCACTATTTTACCCTAAAACTGTGGTATTACAATGTATCCATTTTGTAGAAGCTAAGTAGCGGGGTTTGTTCGGAGATGAAGGTTATCATCAATTATGGTCATCTATAATACATAATATATGTTATATTTTAGTTGGTTCTATAAAGTACATTAATGGCGGATCTGAATAAAATTTGTTTCTGGGGTTATATAAATAGTATATATAAAATTAGTGGAAGTAATTTTGAAAAACCTTGCATTGCTATATTGTTTAGTAATACTTTCTCTACTTTAGTGCTTTCGTTGACAGTTGATGGAACTTTATTTGTTTAAATTATTACATATTTGTATAATTTATGGGCAATAAAATATTTTTTAAGGGACTTATTTATGATTTAACATAGTTATTATAGTTAATTTTCTCTATTAATGTAAAGAAACCGACAGTCAAAATCCGGTTCATGTTAAAGTTTTTCTTTCTTGTACATTTTCAACTTTAATATCCATAAAATACTATTAAATCGCTTTTTAGTTAAACATTTCCCATGATTCCCATAGTTGCTTCTCATAATTAATTCAATAAATAATGTAATAAAATTTATTATTTTATCAGCACACCGCTTATGCCTAAGTATTTAAACTATTCAAAGGAGTGGTTGCCTGCCTTAACTAAATTGATTACAATTCCGTTCATATATGGACAAAATTAAACTTCATGAATGTCATAAAGAAATAAATGCATAATAAAATATACAATTTAAGAAACGAAGAAAAGAATGCAACTCTATAGATACATAGTAATATGCAAATATGACCGTCTTTATGACAGGCACTTATATGCGTTATTGTAAGATACCTTACTCACTTATTTATAATTCTTTTAATTTATGGTATATAAGTACTCACCTCTGGTATCATAATGATGCCTGGTTTATGCGGAAATATGAGGTCATGTGGTGTTGTAAAATTGGTCGCTGTTATCGAACACATTTGCGTGGCCATGCCACCTTTAGTGTCCTTAACCGAAACTTGGAAGTCATAATAGCGTCCGGGCTCGAGACGTCGTTGTAATATAACATTTGCTTGGCAAACGGAATTGTACTTTGTGCATGGAAGTGATTCTATTTTAACGGTAGATGATGAAGCATCGCCCACAAATTCAAATGTTAGCGGATAGTCAAACTCTTCATCGGTGGCACGCAAACGATAAATGACCGAACCGACCTGCGCATCGGCCGGCACTAAAACAAGTCGCATACGCGTCGATGGATCAAATTTTGGATCCACGCAATAAACGTGCGATGGGCAGAGCATACTAATTAACAGGCTGATTGTCAATATTCGATATGCAGTCAGACGGCTCAGCATGGTGAAACAAAATGTTGGTGAGACAGTGGCAATGAAAGAGCGGTGCTGCTGATGATTGCTGCATTTTCTATTGCTGGAAGCCATTTCTGTAATGATACGAAATAAAAAAAATTTCCTTAATAAATAAGAAAAAATAGAAAAACAAATAAATAAAGACAACAAGCGATTACATATTCTATGGTATATGGCATATGGCATATAGTATATGGCTTAGCAAATAAAAGAAATCACAAATCGAAGAATTCAATTCGTTTGGGAATGCGCGCTTGCGTACGAGTTTATTGACTCATGAACGAACTGAGCTAAACAAGTGTCACGGGCTCTTGAGAAGTTAAAAAACTCATATAGGCACTCGTCTATAGTCATAAACGTGTGCATTTTTATACGTACGTGAAAAATGCATAAGCTGCTTATTAGCCATGGCAATGAACGGAATAGCTTGACTTGACTTCGTTGGTACTTGACTCGGCGTAGAACCTTAACAATCTGCACATCCGGTGCCAATGACAATATTTCATTTTGATATTTGTCTTTCGCAATTTCCAATACTCACTGCACAAACTAAATACTTTACATTTATTTTGATTAGCGTAATTTTATGCATTTAAGGTTCCATAAAATATAATTTAAGATTTTTTCTAAAATATCCACAAGAAGCTGATTGCACACATTAGATTCTTTATCGACTTCATTTGCAGTCTCACTTAAAGCGGCTTAAATTTGCTATTATGTATACAATATATACTTATTTATTTCTGGTATTATTTTTAATTCAAACAATAAATATAATCACAAATTATAAGTCTTACTGGCTTGGATTATTTCTGCGATTATTTTCTGCTCAAGTTGTTTAAAATATTCATTAGTGTTTTGTATCTCGTCGACACCCACTACGTTTATGGCCAATCCAGTTAGGTATTGAAGTTTTTTTTTTCTGGTATAACTTAGTGCCATTGTTATGGGAAACTTACTTCATTTAATTTAAAGCATTATTTTTAATTTAGCAATTTTTTCCAAGTGGTTGTGAGTGCTGCACCCAGGAAGGTGTTAAATAGATTTATTTCGGTTTACTTAACTGGCGTCTGCATTTTGCAATGGAGCTTAACTCTGTAGTTAATATGAAAAAATTCTATAACACAAAGTTTAAAGCGATTAAAAACGCTGTAGTTTAATGAATAATACAAAATAATCTACTAATCTCAAAAAAGAATAAGAAACTTTTCAACCAAAATTATAGAACATGTGAATTTTAAATTTTAATGAAGTGCTTAATATGCATATAAGTCCATCTTAATGGATGTATAAGCTGTAATTTCAAAAACGCTATTTTTTGCTTAATCTATAAACTGCATGGCTCATGAGGTTTCTAGAAAATGCCGTAACCTCAACTTCAATGGAGCCTTTTACAAGATTTTATTTGTAATAATAAGGTAAAGATAATTATCCCAGCAAGGTTATTGCAAATACAGTCAAACTTCCATAACTCGAACTTCTATTAATCGAACCTAAAACAAAGCAGCAAGGTTTTAGAGAGCAAATTACATACAATTCTGCTTCCATAACTCGAATTTCTCTATAACTCGAACAAAAATTTTGTTCCTTACCAATAGGAATATGGGAAAGTGCATTCTATAAGTCTAATTTTTTTTTTAAGTATAGATGCATTTTGCTGTTAGGGGAAGTCCCTTTTTCCAAATCAAATGCCAGTCGCTGGTAGCGTGGTTTAAAGTAAATAAAATAACTTCCAATGTTACTCTTAACGATTATATTGAGCTTGATAATGAAATTTGTACATTAAACTTTCCTACAGATGACGATATTATGAGCACTATAGCTCTAAATTACTGGATCAAATTCTAAGTGCAACGGAAAGTTATGATGAGGATTTGGTGGATGTAATTGTTCATCAGCCCTCCAAGAATGAAGTAGAAAACTCATTTAAAATTCTGAATTAATATTTGCAAACGAATGATACTACAATGATCACTATAAGAGTATGAAATAAAGTAGAATCTCTTTTTACTGAGAATAAGATAAAAAAGTCTCAAACCTTAATTTCTAAATATTTTACTTAACTATAACTTCTGTGCTTTATTTGATTTTCTTTGTAAAATTGGACTTCGAGTTATGGAAGTTTGACAGTATATATGAGAGCCTAAGTTTAAGTAGCCATAGGTATCATGAGCACACACACTTTTTCCACTTTCCGCTTCACTTTATAATACAGTAGCATAAGACTGGGTATTAACTATAACTTCTGTGCTTTATTTGATTACAAATAAATAAATATCTTAAAATGTAATTCTAGTTTCTTTCAAAAATAAAAAAAAAATAAAAAAATTCTCTAACTCGCAGTCTCCATAAGTCGAACCTTTCCAAAATTGGACTTCGAGTTATGGAAGTTTGACTGTATATATAAGAGTTTATATTACATGTACATTAGTATCTTTTAATTAGAAATATATTTTCAAATTTAGATTTTTAAATACAATAATGTGATTAAATTTTTTTTATTCTTTTTATATAATATTTTATTGTTTCCTTATAATTTTATCCTCTGCTTTTCAAAGTACTTCACTAAAATATTTCAAAATTCTCACAAAAAATTCCAAATTAACTTCCCACAAAAACAGTATTGATATTCCCAAACGTTGAACTTAAACCTTAAAAACCTAAAAAAGTTAAAATACTTGAAGCCAATAAAAAGATTCGCTGTGATGTTTTCTTAGAACACCTCACCGAAATACATACATCCACATATGTCATTTCATTAATAAAACATGATTTGTGCAGTTCGCCCCACTAATTTATGACCTGAAATTAGTTCTGCGGTAATGGGTTCCCAAGTCTGTTTATGGCAAACAAAGTTTAGAAAAAAGGACATTTTTGTGCAGTTTAAACTTTTTCGTATCTGTAAGATACTTCTTTCGATGATTATAGAGGCTGTAGTATACTCTTGTTTTGTTTAAAAATGCAATCGTCATCAGTCAAGCTGATTTATTGTTTCACTTTTTTTTTATGACTAAATAAATTAAAAAGATAGCAAAACTGACTAACAAATCGTTGACGATTTTTGCTTCAAGGTTATTGAGGAGGATTGCTTAGTATTTGGTAAAGTTTGTCGTATTGTCATATATTAAGCTTTTTTTCTATATATAATATAATTAATAAAGAGCTATAATAATAAAAAAAAAATTGTATTTATGTGACAGAAAGTGAGTGTATAAAACAAAGCATTGTTTCTTAAGTTAGTTAAATTTTATGAAAATATAGATATAAATCCATATGAATATTGGGCTATAAAGTGCTATAAGATAAGCCTAAATGTCGTATATTGCATAAATTAAATTTTTTTTGAGACTTTTACTAATTTAAGCAATATTTTCAATCGGGTGTGGATTTCGATAATGTCTAGACATTAGCATATCTGCTACAGATCCAACTTCTTCTTGTTTCTTCATAATTTTGCTTATAGTACGCTTAGATGTATTTCCATTATATCGACGATAATCCCTTTGAATAAATATAATAATAATAATTAATAAATATAATAAGCTTATGCTCTCTGAAACTTTATAACGTTTCAAGCAATTTTTATTTTCCTTAAATGTTAGTTTATATATATGTTGAGTAGAATGTTAAAGACTGATATGAATATTACTTCTATTGAAACTATTGAAATTAATGTGTAATTAAAGAAATTGGAACAGATTTTAGTCCTTATATTACAAAATAAACATTACGTGGGAAAAATACATTCACAATTGGTCTTCAGCGGTCTTCACACGAAGCGTGACTGAAAGCTGATGACAAACTGTCCACGCAGAATGTCAGTCAGTATTGATAAGAGAAGAGTTTTTGGGACAAAATATCATCTAGTAATCCATAGTATTTGCAGAATGCAATTTCTAAATAAAAGTATAAATATTCTGAGTCGATTTGAATTTTCTTTCTTTTTTCGTTTGATGTCAGCTGTGGTAATAAATTGCGAAGAACCCCACCGCATAACTGGTGAGTCTTCTGGGCCTGCCACCGTGCCATGCTAGGCATCTAGAACCACACCAACAACATTAATGCTGACAAAACGAAGTGTTTGAACTTTTGTTTCGCAATACTTTAAAAATTCTATTTTTCTATTTACAGGAACTGTTGGGAATACTAGTGACTACTAGGAAACTACTGTGTTAAGTAAAGTTCAGGTACTGACTAAGTTTCTTACAAGGCTATTCATTGAACTATGATCTATTTAGATCATGATTCATATTTGCTTCTGTAAAACTGATATTTATATTTATTTAAATTTAAATATATCATGATTTTGTTGTTGTTTCAATGTTAATAAATAAATTGAGATTGAGAGAAAGAGAAAGAAATTTCGACCAAAATTTGGATACGATAACAAGATTGTCTGTGTCTCGTCACTTTGATTAAAACAGCGTTGTTAGGTAAGGTATTAGAATTTGCACCTATTAGAAATAAATATGTGTATTTTTGTATGGATGTGTAAGGAAAAATTATTACCTTAAAACCAAAAAGTATCTAAATAGTAATAAAAGTATAAATTTGACAATTTTGAGATGGTTGTTGTCATTCGCCATATATCAGTCTAACATCGCCTTTTCGTTATCCAAAAGCATGTATATTTAAGTAGTCTGAATGGACCCGGGTTAGCAAAGTTTTTCTATATATCATTTTTATATATTCATTTACTTGGTTTATTTACAAATTTTTACAAAATCGATGACTTTTCGGTTCGCAATTTTTAATAATTTATAATTTGTGAATGTAACTACTTGTGATTGTGTAAATTTGCCTTATCGAAAGTTTTTATTGCATATGAGATTCATATTTTTACACTTTTTCATATCATATTTTTTAGTAGCAATAGATTATATGTATAAACACCTCAAGGGATTTCTTAATCATTTTAACTATCTAATAATTATTTTAAACTATCTAAATTCATTTAAATTAATTTGGTTTGTATTATTTTCTTCATTTAAGCTGTTTAAAAGTAAAATTAAATAAAAACGTATTTTTGAAAATTAAGCAAGCCTACGAGGGCCGTAATAGCCCTCGCTAAGGT